TAGTTACCATTTAAGCAAAGTTTCAAGTATCGATATCTCGAAAAGTGAAGCTAATTTGACAAAACCTGCGACGCTATTAAAATTAGAAGATCTCAATTAAGTACGACCATCTACATTCAGTTGCATAATTTTAAGACCGCCACATGTTACCAAGTTTTGAATATTTTAACAATATTCAACAATTTTCATTGAGCTTGAGGCAGTTTTTAATGAAATACTTAATGAAAAGCAGCAAAGGGAAAAAGGACGAGCACACCTAAAAGTTAAACATTCTAAAAATAGAATTATTAACAAAAACCAACAAAACCAACAACCCCATGATCAAGTGTGAATCGTAACGGAATAGCTGCGCTTGATTGTGTTGGCTTAACAAATGAAAAAGTGGGAAAAACAACGATAATTTACAAGGCGAACTTAGCACAGTGCGTAGGCAACTGGCTGAGTCAGTGGGATCGTCAGTTCGAATCCTACTGAAAAAAGTCTGATGAGAAAATGTGGTGATTTCCGAAATAGCTATCACTTCTACCATTTTTCAAAATTATTTTTGCTTTTCCACAATAAATTTTTCGTTAAAAACGGCCTGAAGCTCAATAAAAATTGTTGAATATAATTGTTAAGAGGCCATAAAATAACAAAAACAAATATTTTAATAATATTTAATTTCAATTATTTTCTTATAAAAATATAGTTCATTCTACAGCAAACACCATACAAATCCACAGCCCATGCAATTTTACTACAATAAAGTGCGAGTTTCATGCGGCTACAAAATACCGTTGATATTTGGCAATTTTTTTGTTGACGGTGTTGTGAATTTTCTTCCTATAAACAAATTTTCGATCACACTTTGTATGACAGAAAATTAGTGACAAAGTCAACAAAAAAATGCCAAAAATCAACGGTTGATATATTTTAAAACAATGGAAATGAAGATAAATAACACAAAAGTTACCCGTGTTTTTTGATTTGCCCATATACATTCATATATTTAGGTAAGGTTAGGTTAGGTTATCGGGCTGCCTCCGTAGATGGACCGTGCTATCCGTTGTGATATTCTAACATTCACATATATGAAGGTAAGTTAATAAAATTTTAATTGATTATGTTAACTAGCTAAAGTTTTTCATTCCCTATCGCATAACAATGGATATTTAAGCACTAAGACTATTCAAGTTTATAATAGTTGTCGCTACACAGTCAATATTTCTAAAGAAAATTGCTAGAAAAACGAATTAACTCCTAATGTAAAAAACAAAAATAAATGTGTATTTGTTAACATCGCAACAGCCAGCAGGTATTCGCTGTCGTGCCATGTTTTTTGACAGCAATGCCACATTCCGTACTACGGTGTATGAAGGATTATTAAAATGCTGTGAATTCTAAATACCCGCTATGTTTAGTCGTAATGTGACAGTTATTGGCTGTACATATAAAATTTACCCTATCTCTAAGTGGTAAGGGTAAGTGCTTTCGCACAGCCATTGTTTGTGTATATTTCATTTTTATCAAGCGCTTGCAGCTTTTCAGTGCGCCGTTAAGAGCGCATTTATGTATATCGTTTTAGTTTCTTTCAACTGTGTACATATAGTATAACCTTTATTACGATTAAATGAGGGTCTATTAAAACTTACAAACATGCATCCGGGTACATGTTTGACTAAGTAGTTATGTATGTACATATGTACATATGGAAATATACAAACAACCAATTTAATTAGCCAAGCAAAATTTTGGTTTTAGTATACATTTCCTTGCTTTAATAAAAATAATGCTTTTTATGAAATTCCTGCAGCAAATTATTCTTTATTTTTACTCGATATGAGTACAGCTTTCGAATTTTTAAGTGCGCTTCCCTACGGGGAATAATATGTTTTATCAACTACATAGATATATATTTACATTTTATATAAATGCGCCATATTCACTGGCCTTAAAATCGTCAACAGAGTAAAAATACATCCTTGTTTTTCCCGGAACTATGTGTTATAACGTGCCCAATTGAGAATGCATATAAATTTAGAACGTAAAGTTTTTACTTCCTTTTAGAACAAAAAAATACATAAAATTTTAGTTCTGGCATACAAAATTACGGCCACTTTAAAATAATGTTGGTTCGATCATTCATGAAAATACATATCGCACACCGTTTTCAAAAGAGTCACAACTCAAAATAATACGTTTGTCAGAAAAAGCGAAAAACTATTTCTTAGCACGTGATATTCATATTGGCACCTTAGTTAATTTTTTTTTTAATTATAACAAAAATTTGCTTCAGCTTTTGCTGAAAGTTAATAAAAGCTCTATGTAAATTTTTAGCGCATAATCTCAAAAATGCAAAATTTTGAGTTATGACTCTTTTGAAGACGGTGTGCGTTATGTATGTATATCTAGTTATGTAGAACGAAATTGTAAAAAATTTTAGATTTTCATACACATGTGTATGTATATGCACGCATGTAGTAACTACATAGTAGTACATATGACTTTGTGTAGTTAAGTGTTGAAATGGGTGAATGAAAATAGAAATAAATATTTATCTGATGACTTGTGAATATTTCATTTCCATTGGATGTAAATCATGGGGATGTTTCGCACTAATACTTCGTTTGTGCTTGAACAATCAATTTTGCACATAAAACTAATGCCGATTTCGTTTCTATCGAAAAATGCAACCTTCTCTTTGCCCTCTACGCACAAACACTAAGAAGAGGGCGATCAGAAGGCAACATTTTTTGTACAAAGGAAATCGCCATAAGTGTTTTGAAACAAACTAAGTCTAATATCTTGTTTTCCTTTGTGAATTGCTAAACGTTTTTGGAACGAAATCTATTTTAGCTGTTAAAATCAATGCTAAATTAAGTGGTGTAGTGGTCAGAGGTGCACAGAGGTGGTACAATCCAATGCTTTAAAAATGCGAAAGAAAGCAAAGCTTGTTTTTTATTAGGAAACTTTAACCTCATTGACAGTTTCCAAATTGTTGGCGACGATTCATTAGCACTTAACATTTCTGGAATATATATTTTTTCTCCTTCAAGAAGCGAGCTTAAATTTGGACTTTTTTATGTGTTTTTTTTTTTTTTGTTTACTTGGAAAAGTACATAAAGAACAGCGTCCTTGTGCGTTAAGAATTATAAACGAAACTGATACATATCGTCACTAGACACGAATAAAGGCGCGGTCTCAAAAGTTACGAAGAAAGTCTCTTAACACAGTTAGACACGTTAAAATATTTGACTTCGAAGAAGGACGCGTAAACTTATTTTCGCGGTTAACTATGCTTGCGGGTGTAATAGTACATTCCGTAAATAGTTTTTGGGGAATAATGCTGAAGTGACAGTCTTTGGCCAAGCATAAATCTATGATAACGCGTCTTTCTTCGCCTAAGTTTTTCTTAAGCGCCTTTTTTCGTAAATTTTTTTTTTTTATGCGTCTTTTTTTGCTATCGTAACACTAGCGCGCCTTTATTCGTGTCTAGTGACGATATGTATTTATTCAACTGTAGATAATGTGAATAGAATCTAGAGAAGTGTAGAAAATGTGGACACCCGGCCAAATATTGTATGAAAAAACTTGAAAAGTAGCCAAAAGAAAAATATGTACAAAAGCAACAAAATTCCCATCGTCCAATATAGTAAGTATCGCGAGAAAAGTAGTGCGGTTCATCACGCCATATCGTTTTTTGGAAAACCTGGGCTTAAATTGAGACATAGACATAGTGCAGCGAATTGAAATACAGCGTTTCCGCTTATATAAGCGAAAAATAAGTGAAATCAATTCCTTCTTCCTGCAACACCTAAAAGCTACGCGCGTGTTTATTTATTTTATTTGTTTTTATGTAAAATTGATGGTTGCATGGTGTTATCGCGAAGAGAGGAACACTTTCTATAACTTAAGTACTTCATGTGTGATCCAGTTTGAGTGAAGTTAGTAATAACGTAAGCGAATTTTTTTTTCACAACATTTAATTTTGTTGCACAAATGTCGCTTACGTTATTCCAGGCTTGGGCTCGATATATTGAATCTATGTACTTGCAAATCATATTATTTCTAGATGTTTAAGAGAAAGAACTCGCTAATATAAAATTAAAACTACCAACAAATTACTGAATACAAATAAAAATATTCACTATTCTAAATATTCCCAATTGCTAATTTGTTTACGATCGCTGAATAAAATTCTGAAGCTATATTTTCAGACGACCTTCCAATTTCACTTTGCAAAAGCCTTGACTTCTTGAATTCAGACTAAAAGTTTACTATGTCACTCCTGTATTTATATACATGCAAAATGTACACGGCATACATATGTATGTACGTATGCGCTACAGTTATGCATAGATATGTATGTATGTAACCCACTTAAAATAGGAATTGAATATAAAATTTTCTAGTTAACTTCACTCCTTCCCAAGTTTACAAGTATGTATGCGCGTATATACATATGTATGTATGTATTTACGCTCGTAAATAATATTTGGCACGGTCGCCAAGTAGCAATTCTTTTTAATGATTTTAGCAAAATTCAGCGAACCCTTCCAAAAAGCTGCTGAAAATGCGATAGAAGAAAAGCAACGACAAATGTCAAACAAAAGCCCACTAATTAAATGCAAAAAAAGTAATGTCTCTTTCTTGGTCGCAAAAAAAAAAAAACTGAAATAATGACCTTCGTTTGCGCATCCGTAGAATTCACACCAGTGCAAGGTGGCCGCCGCAGGCTACGCACAAATGGCTGGGGGTGCTGGTGGCGCGCCATTTCACGAGAGGCAACATTGTTGAAAACAATAAAATTGCTAACATTTCACACAACAAGTGATACTTGGTTAACATTTATGTTCACAATTAAAATTAATTACTTGCAGTGCGCGCGCGCTCACTTACCGACATTGACCTAGGCGGAATGCTGCGTCGAGGGCGAGAGATTGGGTGCGTTTGTAAGCGAGTGCAATCTGATTTGGTTCTAGGTACGTGTGTTTATTTGTGAGTATTTTTTAGACACTTACCTGATCCACCGAGCCGTAATGATGACGTGAGAAAACGCCGCGTCTGGATATTAACTCAGTTGCCGAGGAGCTGGAATGAGAAAAACGGAAACAAAATTAGACAAATTAACATACGGCCATGTAATGTTGGGGCTTAGCACTGCACGTGTGTGTGTTGCAATTAGAATTGAGAGTTGGGAAAAATAACAATGGGTATGTTTAATTAAAAATACTTAGCTAAAATGGCATTTTTTTTTTTAAATCTACTAGAGGTTTTCTTGACCCTTCCTCCAACATAGAGCTCCAAGTAACATTACTGTTGAAAATTATTTCACGTTATTTTCTAAGTGATTTAGTGGTAACTTATTTTTCGCATGCTTCGCGACAGAACTGTCAAAGCGGAATGATGCAAGGCCTCTGCTCAACGTAGAGCCAGTAAAGGATCCTTTCTAGGTGGTGTTTTTTCA